AAAGCATGCAAGAAAAGCAGAGAAATCCAATGGCTCCACCTGACATAATACAATCAAAACCCACTGACACCAAGGTAACTCTGATGCTCTGTGACCCGACTACAGATACTCTGAGACGATCAATCTTAGAGGCACTGAGACTGTCCATCTTTATAGGAACAAGCAGCCTCATCTTTCTCCTATGTAGTGGCTGGTGCATTTGAACTAGCCATCTCATGGTTAGCAATCCAATGCTTAATCCACAGTGTTACCAGGGTTCATTTCTGACCTAGTATAATATATTGGTCATTGAACAGGAGCTAAACTTTCTAATTTTTTTAAAGTCAGTATATTTTCATACAAATAGAAGCAACAAAACTATGTATGAGGTCATTAAAAAAACCAAACAAATTAGAAAGGTGAAGGAGGAGGACAAAATTTAATAAACTTGCTGAGCAATAAATCCAGCTGGGAGTCCAATGGAGAAGGAGTAAACAAGTCAGAGTACCTCAGCACTCCAGTATTTGAGAAAAATAGCGCCGAGGCACCGAGTCTCTCTTCCTAGGGTTCAGAGCATGAAAGACTTCTTACAGTAGTCACGACTAAAATACCACTGGTGGTGGGGTTTCAGAGTTTTCTCATTAAGGAAGAAGTGGAATGGGGGCAAGCATCACAGCAAGGTGTGAATATAATCTGATTGGGATGAATCCAAGCACAGACTATTATGAAATTAAATGCAAAATTACACAGGTAATGTGAATAATGCAAGTGTGTACACTTCTGAGTCACGGCCTTTTTAAAAAAAATCGGACTTTCAAAGTGGTCTATGATCTAAAAATTACAGATCGCTACTCTTAAGGTATCTACTAAAAAGGATGAAAATTAAGATGCCCTGGTCGTGCAATGGCTAAGTGCTCAGTAAAATTTAAGGATCCATGTCAAGCATTAAAGTAACTTACATAAAAAACTATTCTGTTTGAATCAATTCCCTTTACTTTCTTAATTCTGAGGACATTATAGTAACAGAAACTTTAAAACAAATGGCATTATAGTTGTTAGATCACCCAAAGCATTTGATCCTCTAAGTAAATCCTCCTCATTCATTTCAAATACCAGCAAGGTCATGGTCATGCTGGTAAAAAGCTTCAGAGGAGCTTCCAGACTAAAACAGACAACACGGCTAAGTAGATCTACTTCTAAAAATCAAGCCAATAAAAACCTTATGGATCCCAAGAAAACACTGTCTAACTTGGTTGCTTTGGATATGCTATCAGGTGGGATCAATCACAGGAAAACCTCATCATGCGTGGTAAGTAGAGGGTGAAAAACAGCCTGGGAACCTTCAATGACTCTTTTAATGATGGACTGCAATATAGTGACAATTGTTAGAATAGGTAATTCAAGACCAGGCAGTGCTTTCTTCTGCGTACTGTACATAAGGTGGTCATGAATTAGAGTCTAACAACACGTAGTTCATAAAGCTCCCATTAAAATGAGCAAATCAGTGTTTACTTACCTTAAGTTTTCCTTTGTTAAAAGCACAAATTGAGACCTGGTAGGCAGAATGTCCCATATCAATAAATACTACATTTCTTGGTTTCTCATCTAAAGAGGGAAGATCTTGTTTATAAATTCCATAGGCTAGTGCAACTGTGTAAAAACAGAGGTCAATTTTAGCAGCAGTCACTTGGAAAACAAGTAAGAGATATGTCACTTTGATACAGTACTTTAATACTCAATGCAGTAATACGAACCACACTAGTTCAAAAGTAATTTTTCGTAATTTAGTTAACGTTTTCATTTTAAGTTTTCCGTAATTATCTAAACCAAAAACCTCCTGCTGTAGTTGATTTGACTCATAATCACCTCACAGGACAAAGTAATTGGAACTTGTAGGGTTTTTAAGGCTGTATATCTTCAAAGGAGCAGGCTCCCACATCTTTCTCCAACTATCTATCTAGAACTCTATAAGGGTCACCATTCTTACAGCAAAGAGTCCCTGTGTCATACATTTCACTAAGTGCTTGAGTATTATCCACTTAGAGGCATCTCGTAAGACAGGTCTGATGATTTGAAAGGCACAAATGGGGTTTTACCATGAATTGGAAAAGATTCACCAGCAGATAACCATAACACAGCTGATATGCCATGTTAGTCTCTCCCAAGATGTTGTACTCTAAAATGTTAAACTTATAGGAATCAACCCATAATTAAAATAAACTATTATTATTCTTGTTTGCTTACCTGCAGTCGTTTCATTCATCAGCCTTAAACAATTTAAGCCTGCAACCTGGGCCGCAGCCATCACAGATCTTCTTTCAGTATCAGTGAAAAAGCTAGGGATCTGGAATTTTCAAACACGCAATTATTTGTGTGATGCCATCAATTTCTTTCAACATATGGTACATCTAGAAATGTAAAATAACTGCATTCAGACCTATCCAATGGTGCTTTTATTAAATACATATTTTTTTAAATTAACTTTGTGGTTGTTGAAGATAGCTATAGCACTAGGTTTATTTTTAAAGTCTGATAATTTCTGTACCAAAAATATAGGACATCTTAGTGCAACACTAATTTAAAGTAATTAGAAAAATAAAAGATTATGGATAACTGAAAAAAACCTGTTAATCTAAGCTTGTCCTGTGCTGATCTGGGATATTAAAAATATTTACATTCATTTGTAATCATAGAAAGTTGAAAATCTCACAGTCTGTTAAAGTTAAACTGGTTAAGGAAATGAAAGCTTATCCATACGATAGAATCCTATGTAGTGGATCGAAAGGATCACAGAGACAACTTGTCATGGACTGTGCTTCTAAATTGATGCGTGCTGTTGAGACATGCCATTGAGTTGGTTCCAACTCACGGTGACCCTGTCAACAACAGGACAAAACACTGCCCGTCTTGGGCCAGCTTCACAATTGCTTCTGTGCTGGAGCCGTGTTGCAGCCACTGTTGGAACCCATTTTATTGCAGGTCTTCCTCTTTTTGCTGCCCGTCTACTTTACTAAACATGATACCTTTCCAGCGACTGGTCTTTCCTGACAACATGTCCAACTATGTAAAGCAAAATCTCACCATTCTTTCTTCCAAGGCGCATTCTGGATGCATTTTTAAAAAAAATCATTTTATTAGGGGCTTATACAACTCTCATCACAATCCATACATACATCAACTGTGTAAAGCACATTTGTACGTTCATTGCCCTCATCATTCTCACTGAATGCATTTCTTACAAGACAGATTAATTTGTTCTTTTGGTAGTCCGAGATTCTTTCAATGTCCTCATTAGTATTATCTTTGCGTAGTCAATAAAACACAAGTAAACCTCTCTCTGTTATTCTTTTGTTTTCAATGAATATCTGCCTGACATCAGCAATGATGTCCACTCATTCATTCTACAGCCTCTTCTAAATCTGGCTTGACTTTCCAGCAGCTCCCTGATGATGCACTGCTGCAAGTGTTTCTGAATTATCTTCACAAATCTAGAGTTTCGGTTTTGGAAACTGACAGGGGCAGCTCTACCTTGCCTTATAGGGGCACTATGAGCATTGACTCAATGGCAGGGAGTTTGGTTTGGTTTTGCGTGTCATTCAATATTTTGCCCATAGGATCCATCAATATTTCAATTCAAGGCTTGATTTTTCTCTTTGTCAACTTCAGAAGTGCTTAGCATATTCTTTCCTATAGATTTCTAACTCCAGGGCTTTGCATATTTCATGACGTTACTTTGTTTTCCTGAGCTTTTGTTCAAGTCTTCATTTCTTTCATTCAACATTAGCTATTCTGTATTCAAGGTTCAAAGTATTTTCTGACACACATTTTGGTCTTTTCTTTCTTTTTATCTCTTCCAATTTTATTGCTTTGTAATTTGGATTTTAATAAACACATTTATTTTGTTACTATTCTTCTGGTAAAATGCTAGATTACAAAGTAGGTTAATACACAGACAAGTCCTGTAACGGTATCCAGTGAATTATTTCTAATCAGCTAGAAAATAAAACATTAAGTTCTAATATATTTCTCCCATTTTAAAATCCAAAATATACAGGAAATATATACATAACTAAATGTACCAGTTTAGTATATAACTAAATGTACTAAAGGGTTAACATTCTGAATCTACTTTTCTGATGACAAGAGAACTTATGTAGAGGCATTTAATAGTTATAAAATTTTCAAATGTAGAACTAACTGGAATTTTTCATCCTTCATCATAAAACATGATGTCCCCTAGAGGTGGGAAGCTAAGTTATAACTGGAAGGATTCTTAGAGACAGAAGCAGGTATAATGGTCACTAATTTATCACATACATTATTAAGCCTATTATATTATCAAAATAGACATTATGGGAAATCAAATTGTAAACTACCAAATAAAGTAATTAATATATTTTAAGTCAAAATGGCTTTGTATACTGGATAAGGACAGAAAGCATAAAAAGGGAAGAAGATATTCAGTACAACAGGAATACACAGGAAACTATAATTCAAGAGTACTCATTACTAAAATAAAACTTACTGAAATCACACAGTCGGCCACTGGCTTCTTTAAAGCATTTTCTGAAGTCTCTTTCAGCTTAGCCAACAGCATTCCTGTAACTTGCTCAATTGCAAAAGGTCTTTCTTCCTCTAGGTATCGCACCTAAAAATCACAAGTTCAGTTATTTATTCATTCAATAACAATCTATTGAACACCTGGGTACATGGCATAAAAAAGGCAAAGTCCATACCTTAAGGAAATTATATTCCAAAAAGATTTCATTCCAGAAACATGCTCTCATTAAAAGGTGTGGCAAATTCTCCCCTTTCTGAATTCCAAATAATTTACATATATAACCAATCTAGTTATTTTCAAGTGTCTCTATTTTATCCAGCCCAACTTTTTTCTTAATCATTTTATTGGGGGGGGGCTCTTAAAATCATATAACAATCCATCGTTCAATTGTATTAATATAAGCACACTTGTGCATATGATGTTGCCATAAACATTTCCGAAACATTTTTTTCTACTTTAGCCATTGATATAAGCTCCTTTTTCCCCCTCCCTCCCCAACCCTTCCATTCTTGTGTATCACAAGAATTATTTCACATCTTACACTGTCCATTGTCTCCCTGCTTCACCCACATTTCTGTTATTCAATCCCCTTTGGAGGCTATATATCCAACCTTGCGATGGGTTCCTCTTTCTCTCCCTCCCCGACCACCCCCCTTATCCTCATGATATCCATACTCCCACTACTGTTCCTGAGGGTTTTATCTGTCCTGAATTGCATGTGTCCAGAGCTCTTATCTTTACCAATGTGTGCACTCTGGTCTAGCTGGATTTGTAAGGTAGAACTGGGTCATAGTAGTGGGGGAGAGGAAGCATTCAGGAACTAGAGGAATGATGTGTTTTTTTGGTGCTATACGGCACCCTGGTTGAATTGTTGCTTCCTTGTAACACTTCTGTGGGGGAATGTCTAATTGCCTACAGATGGGCTTTGGGTCAAAACTCCAATCCTCTCTTTTGCATTGATATAATTGTTTGTTTTTGATATTTTGATACCTGATTCTGTTGACACCTCATAATCACACACAGCCCCCCAACTTCTCATGAAAGCACATTTTATCAATCGTTTCCAAGTGTGACACAACTCACAATGAAAAAGGAAAAGATCAAATGCATGTTATTTTCAAAGTTAGCTCTTTATCTCGTTTAAAACAAAAATTTTAGTCATAGTTGTGAAAAGAAAGGAAATGAGAATTAAGAAACATCCTGGCCCACCAAGCCTTGAGGATGAAGTTCCCCATTACAGCAGTCAGTCCACAGAATTGACCACATGGCCAGCCCCACAATGAGACATGACACCCCTCACTGACCCATATCCCTACAGGGGACAACACCGGAGACACAGTGTGGGAATTGCACCCGATCTGATCTGCCACACCGAGGCAAAATACTAAGGGGTGCAACAGAACAGCAAGGGAACAGACGGCGAGGTCCCCAGGGAATGCTGAAGGTGGACTTTGGGGCCAGGGAATGGTGCCCCAACAGACTGGACTGGAAAACACTCCTAAAGGCCAACAAATGATCCTTGAACTAACT